AAGAAAAGAATATATAAATGAAAACGACACAATATTGTTTCCATTTTTTTTTTTTTGTTTTCCATTTGGAAGTGATATATAATAACGAAAATAATTGATAGATAAAAGTATGGTTCAGTTACTAATTTGGTCGTCAAAACGAGAACTCAGCGGTAATTGACATATACCTCCAACGAAGAGTTTGTGAGTTCGAATTTCCTTCTCAACAAGTCTATATGATTTGCACAAAGTTTGATTTGGTCCCTATAATTTAGTCATTACAAACTATCTCTGCCATTGTCATATTGAATTATTTCTTTTTACATGACAGTTTTTGATTTGGATAACTATGTTAATTGAGTGTATTAGGGTAGTAAAAAGTAAAAGAAAATAGGTGAATTTGTAAAGTGGGTAAAACACAACTTAGGGACTAACTTATAAGATTTAACCAAATGACGGGGACATAATTGAAACTAAGCCTAAACTGTAGAGAACAAATTGAAATTTTTAAAATCATAGGGACTAAATAAGTTAATTATGAACCTAAAGACTAATTTGAAACTTTTAAAATCATAGGAACCAAATCGATATTTTACTCAAATCATAGAGACCAAATTCAAGAGTAGCACGTTTACCATTTAAAACTCTAATGGATTACTATTATTAAGTATTAAGGGTAGAGTGAGGAAGAAAAAAGGAAAGGGTTGCTCCCCACATAGCTTGTTATAGGTTAAAAAATTATATTAAGAAGTAAAGATTTTAAAGTTTTTTTTATTTAATTTGACCCATTGTGACTTTTTAAAATTAAAAGATTATATATACATAGAAAGTTGGAAAGTACAAATTTATCCTCCTTATGTAAATTTCTTGTCTCCGCTCGTGACTATTGTCAAGTTAATAAATAACTAATGATGATTAAAAAAAAAAGGAGATGATGTTACTCACTAAAATTTTCTTAGATTTATACTTACGACTAATTAATAGATTTCTAAAAGAAAGAAAGAGCTGAGATGGGCTTGATTGGGCCAAGTCCACTACTTGAGTGCCCAATTCTTTAAGCAGCCCAGGCCCATTTATACTTCCACCATCACTCATCTTATGGACTAATGGTCTTTATTAAATTATTTTCCACACTAGTGATTAAGGGGTTAAAATTATTATAAACTTGAAATCATTAGTAGCAAGCCATTGATTTTAAGAATAACAATTCTAAAAATTTGTAATTAAAAAAAAAAGTTTAAATACAATCTCTATATTTTTAATTTTGGTTGATTTTCCTTCTCTACTATCAAACTTTTAAATATTTATTTTGATCGTTGTACTTTTAGTTTTTTTTTTTTAATCTCTGTACTTTTAAAATGTCAATGTTTGTATTTGTATTTTTGAAAAGTGGATGTTTTGAGTCTTATCTCATTCTTTTAACCAAAATTTCAACACGACACTATATTTTATAAATATCTTAAAATGTAACAAAATCTTTGTTTTGAATGGTATCTATTGTGTATAAAATCAATTACCAAAATAATCACATTTTTTTTAATTACAGAAATTAAAGTGGACATTTTGAAAGCACTTTGACTCAAATAAACAAAAATTGAAAGTATAGTAATCAAATTGAGGGTTTTAAGAGTATAGAGACCAAAATGAACTAAAGCTAAAAGTACCTAAAGTAAAATAGTATTTAAACCATTTTTTTTTTAATTTAGTATGAGTTAATTTCTTTCACATAAATCAGTACATTGAAAATTAAAATATAATTCAGTGTTATTAATTAATTTTTAAAAAATAATTACACTTTAAATAATAAATAATTAAATATTAAATAATATTCTTCTATTCCTACTGGCCAAATATGCCCCTAATTAGACAACCCACTGTACCTGATATTTTATTTTAGAGAAATGGGATGTGATAATTAAAAAAAAATACTATATTTTATTTTTTATTTTGGGGACATTATCTTCTT